CCTCTGCCCAGGCCTGCGTCCTCCTGCTTTATCTTCCATAGGCGTTGCTCCCAACAAACCTCTTGCACTCCTCACTTTGACCCAGAGCATCTGAACTGACATACTCTGTCTTCAGTTGCCAACAATCAGATTTGGGGTCTTGTGAGAGGTTTTTCAACCATCAACATGGATCTAGTGCCTCCTGTCTGCTCACCCTGTGATGTGTGGAATGGATATTAAGGATGTGGGATGATGGCAGAAAGAACAGAAAGTTAGATCAGGCCAAATTTAATGAGGTAGGCCTATTAAGCAGAGAGTACAGATTACAGGTTATTGTAGCTCCAGGGGCTAGGAAGTATTCTAACAGCTTTTTTGGCTGACTGAAAGCTGAACCCAAAAGTGGCCTATACTAAATTAAGTTGAAATGCCAGAGCTTCCTTGGTATACTGTAGAGGAAAGTATCCAAATGCTTAGGAAGATTGTAATATTAGAGTGCATTTATGATGCAAAACCTGGTCACCCGCCCCAGAAGGGTCCAGAAGAGCCAATTTTCACCATGACTGTAAGAACAATAAACCTGGTTATTTATTTTTTCCCGGGAGGAGAGATGGCCAGAGGCATGAGTCTCTGCCGATTCATGGGTTGTAGCCAGTGTTTAGTTAGATGATCAGGGATTTGGAAGGAACACAATTGGAAAACTGGTGATGGTGAATTTTGGGGAAGAGGTATGTGGATAGACCTCTCGGAGGCTAAGAAACATGATTTGTGTCCTGTGTGAATGCTCACCAAAGGGTGACCTCAGCAGAGGAGGATTGTAATAATCAAGTGGCTAGGATGATCCACTCCATGGTTACTACTCAGCCACCCCACTCATCACACGATGCGCTTATCATCAGAACAAAGTGGCCCTGATCACAGGGATGGAGGTTATGCATGGGCTCAGCGACAGGGACCATTCACCAAGGCCAACCTGGCTACAGCCACTGCCTTACTTGCCAGCAGCGGAGACTGCACCATTCCCAAGTTGATTCTGTTGGACAGCTTCCATCATGGAAATGACAGCAAGCACTTTGGTCTTATGGAAATAAAAGCTTACTCTGGATATGGACTCCCTTTTCCTGCCCACAATGTTTCTGCCAAAACTACCATCTGTGGACTTACAGAATGCCTTATCTATCATCTTGTGTTCTACATAGCACCACTTCTGGTGAAAGAAGTCGCTTCACAGCAACCGGAGTGAAGAAATGGGCCTGTGCTCATGGAATCCACTGATCTTACCATGTTTCCCATCATCCTAAGGCAGTGGCTTGACATAATGGTGAAAGGGCCTTTCAAAGACTCAGTTTTGGTGCCAGGTGGGTAGAAATACCTTGAGGGACTATCACAGTGTCCTGCAGGATGCAGAAATCACCATCCAATATGATGCTATTTTCCCCATAGCCAGGATTCATAGGTCCAGGAATCAAGAAGTGGAAATGGAAGTGGCTCCACTCACTATTCTCCCTCATGATCTACTAGCAAAAATTTTTCTTCCCACCCCCACCGCCTTATGCTCCACTGATCGAAGGGAGGAATGCTTGCCCCTGGAGGCACAATAATGATTCCACTGAACTAGAAGTTGAGACTGCCACCTGACCACTTTGGGCTCTTCATGCCTCTGAACCAACAAGCAAATGAAGTCATTGTGTTATGTAGGTGATTGATCCTGATTACCAAGGGCAAACTGGGCTGCTCCTACACAATGGAGGTAAGGAAATATGTCTGGAATACAGAAGATCCCTTAGGGAGTCTCTTATACTACCATGCCCTGTGATTAAAATCAATAGAAAATTCTAACAGCTGGGCGCCTGGGTGGCTCAGTTGGTTAAGCGACTGCCTTCGGCTCAGGTCATGATCCTGGAGTCCCAGGATCGAGTCCCGCATCAGACTCCCTGCTCAGCGGGGAGTCTGCTTCTCCCTCTGACCTTCCCCCCTCTCATGTACTCTCTCTCTCTCATTCTCTCTCTCAAATAAATAAATAAAATCTTTAAAAAAAAAAAAGAAAACTCTAACAGCCAAGTCAGGCACAACTGCTAATGGCCCAGACCATTCAGGAACGAAGATTTGGGTCACCCTACTAAGTAAACAATCACAACCAGCTGAGGTGCTTTCTAAAGGCAGAGAATGCAGAATGGGTAATGAAGAAGGTCATTATAAATACCAGCTGTGATGACATGAACTCTGGCTGATACAGATATACTACTGTGTTTTTAAAAATAATTTACATAAATAGTGCCCTACGATATTTGAGGATTACTGCTTAATGAGGCCTCTTTGTATGACACCATATCTCATCCCTGTGGCTGGGCACAGATTGACTTTAGGAAGGTGGATGGCAAATATTCAGAAGAGGGGCAGTTCCTACCCCAGGACATGTTGGTTTTCATGACTGTTGTCTCATGAGGCAGGAAATCTCACAGCCACAGGCAAGGTAAAATGTGTGGGATGCTGGACAGTTCTGGACAGTCTGGAAATCATCAACTCTTATTTTATAGAAGGAAAACAGGCTGGGGGAGCACAGAGACTTACCATGGAATAGCCTTGGCTAGACACTAAGGCTCTTGACCCTGAAGGAAGCCCCACCTTGGCAGAACCTCTACCTGCCCTGTAACTTCTGCCTGGTGGTCTCCTCCTTCCCTCCCAACTCATCAGTCCTTGGCTGGGTCTCAGAGGAGGATCTGGCTGTTCCATTGTGGCAGATGAAGGATGGCCATGAATTCTCTGGAACTTCTCCCAGAGAAGTACACAAGTGGTTTGAGACCGGAAATCAAAGTGTATCCTGGTAACTGAGTGGTAGAAGTTCAAAGAAGCCTCCACCTGAGATCTTCAGACCCCTGCAGTGCATATCCTCCTTCTGCTGGCACTGCAATACCTGTAATAAAATATGAGTATAAACTATGGGTCCTGTAGGTCATTTCAACAATCAAACACTGAAGATAATTATGTGTAATTAGCACAAACTTTTGGAAGAAAGCAAAAGAGAAAATCTCAGTGACCTTTGGTTTGGCAAAGACTGCTTAAATAAAACACAAACAGCATCATTCATAACAAAACAAAAACCAGTAGAGTTCATCAAAATTAAAACTTTTGTTCTTCAAAAGATACAAGACACTGCTATGAAAATGGAAAGGGAAGCTATAAACTTGGAGAAAATGTTTGCAAAATATATATCTGACAAAGGACTTGAATCTGAAGTATATAAATAACTCATATAAGTCAATGAGAAGTCAAAAAAACCAATATTTAAAAAAAAAGTCAGTGAATGAGCAAAAGACATGAACATACATTTCACCAAAGAAGATATACGTTGGCAAATAAGCTCATGAAAGGATGTTAAACATCATTATCCATTATCCAAATGCAATTAAAACCACAATCAGATATCACTACATACCTATCAGAATGATGAAAATAAAAAATAGTGACAACACCAAATGCTGGCAAAGATACAGAGAAACTAGATCATGCATACATTGCTGGTGGGAATGTAAAATGGTACAGCCATTCTGGGAAATAATTTGGTAGTTTCGTATAAAACTAAATATACACTCACCGTACAACCCAGCAATCACATTCTTGGACATCTGTCACAGAGAAATGAAAGCTTATGTTCACACCAAAATCTGATCACAAATGTTCATAGCAGCATTATTCCCAATTGCTAAAAACTGGGAAAAAAAAAAAGTCCTTCAGTGGGTGAGTGGTTAAACAAACTGTGGTACATCCACACCAGGAAATAACAATAAAATGGAACAGCGTCCTGATACATTCAACAGCTTGGGCGCATCTCAAGTGAATTGTGTTGCGTGAGAAAAGTAACACTGATCCAATCTCAAAAGGCAACATACTGTAAGATTCCATTTACAAAACACGTTTGAAATGACAAAATGGTAGAGATGGAAATCAGATTAGTGGCTGCTGGGGGTGAAGAGGAGAGGAGAGGGAGAGAGGAGGGTGGAGGTCAATAAAGGACAGCCTGAGGGAGTCTTGAGGTGACATAGTTGTTCTGCGTCTTGAGTGTAGGGCTAGTTACATGAATCTCCACCTGTGATAAAACTGCACAGAACTATTCATATTCACACACACACACGAGTGCAGGTAACACTAGTGAAATCTGAGTAAGCACTGCCAATTTCCTGGTTTTATATCATACTGTAGTTAGGGAAGAGGTTACCTTCAGGGAAAACTGGGTGAAGGGTACATGACACCTCCTTGAATATTTTTCTGCAACTTCTCATGGACCAGTAATTACTGCAAAATAAAAATGTTTTAATATATATTATTTTTTAAAATGCTTCCCCACCCTGCTTCTCTCCATCGCTGTCCTTCTGTCGCTAAGGCCAACACCAAGAATAAAACTACAACTGCTCAATGTTTATGTAACACTCAAGTAAAACCATTCCCCACCCCCGCCCCCGCCCCCACCATCTCAGCATAGTGACATAGCCAAAAGTAACACTGACCCAATTCCAAAAGCTTTGAGTGGACATGAAGAGCTTAGGCTTTTCTGGAGGGGACAGTGAGGGGAGGATCCTCACAGCAGATCCCCTAGCTCCACCCCTCCTCTCCCCAGTTGCTGCCTCTCTCCCTCTTAGCTCCCAGCCTTCCTCCTCCTCTCCTCCCTCTCCCCTCCAACAGGATTCTTCCATTCCCCCTGCCCCAGCACTCCCAGGTCTGTTCCAAATAGATCATTCTAGACCCATGCCCCTTCTTCTCATCTCTGCCCTTAATGAGCCACAAATACACCAACACCTCCTCAGAAGGCAGGGGAAGGGGAAGGTTGTGAGCACTTACTTGCACACTATTTTGTTCCCTAAAAAAAAAAAAAGGGGTAAAAAATATGAATAATCACTTCAGCAAAGAAGATACGCCAATGGCAAATAAGCACATGAAAAGATGTCCAACATCATTAGTCATTAAGGAAGTGTACATTAAAACCACAGAGAGGTACTACTACACACCCACTAGGATGGCTACGATCAATGACTGACCCTACCAGTGTTGGCAAGGATGTGGAGAGACTGGAACATTCCACACTGCTGGTGGAATGTAAAATGGCACAACTACTTTGGAAAAAGGTTTAGCGGTTTTTGTAAATTTAAACATACAAATTTCATTCGACTCTGTTGTTCCACTCCTAGCTATTTACTCAAGTTTAATGAAAATATATGCCCACAGGGGCGCCTGGGTGGCTCAGTCGTTAAGCGTCTGCCTTCGGCTCAGGTCATGATTCCAGGTCCTGGGATCGAGCCCCGCATCGGGCTCCCTGCTTGGTGGGAAGCCTGCTTCTCCCTCTCCCACTCCCACTGCTTGTATTCCCTCTCTCGCTGTGTCTCTCTCTGTCAAATAAATAAATAAAATCTTTAAAAAATATATATGCCCACAGAAAGACTTATTAATGTTCATAGGAGCTTTATTTGTAATAGCCAAAAATGAGAAACAACCTAAAATGTCCATCAGTTTATGAATGGCTAAACAAAGTATGGCACATCCACAAAATGAAACACTACCCAGCAATAAAAAGAGTGAACTACTGACACAGCAACATGGATGTATCTCAAAGTCTTCCATAATCTTCCATAATCTTCCCATTATGCTGATGGGAAGAAGCCAGACGAATGAGTATATACTGTATGATTTTATCTAGATAAAATTCTAGAAAATGCAAACTAATCTATAGTGGCAGAAAGCCAACCAGTATTTGCCTGGGGAGAGGGCAGGGGGAGGGGGCTTCAGAAAGAGATGCCGCCCCTTGGGGCCAAGTGCTCTTTGGCAGGGGTGGGGCTGCCAGCAGGCTGAGACCTGGTGTCAGAAGGAACTTCCCAGTTCCTCACCAACACAGCTCAGCCTTGCAGGGGGCAGCGGGCAGGCTCAGCACCCACAGCCTGATGGGGCTACATTTCTGACCTTGAGTGTGGACACACGCACCTCTGAAGTACCATCAATGACTGATGCACTGAGAGCAGAAGTAGGCGGAGCAGGGACTGCTGGGAGTGCAGACAACCTCCCGCAGGGGCGCTGGGAGGGCCGGGCTGGGCTGGGCTGGGGTAGCACCCTCCCCCTTGATGCTCCCCAGCCCCGACACCCTGTCACTAACAGCGCCCTGGAGAAATAAGAGCTGTTGTACCAGCCTGGACTAGATGATTATTTACCAGTTCCTCATTAACCCTCTTCTCAGTTCTGTCAGCCCACCTTAGCTTGAATTATTTCTTTATATTGAACAGGCTGGATGTGGACTGTGAAGTGGGCCCAGGCGGTAGGGGTCTCAGGGTTGGTTCTTCTCTCATTTCTTCAGGTAGGGTGAGCAGCACCTGAAGTCCTGGCCTGGATGCTGGGGGCCTGATGTCAAGCCTCTGCCTCCTGAATGTCAGACCTTCAGTCTCACCTTAGGTTACTGTGCCATAAACCACAGGAAGATCCCCTGTGCTCCGAGAGGCTCCCAGACTTCTGCTTGCTCACTGTACTCTGTCTCTGCTATTCATTTTGTAAATTACAGTTTTGGGGATGCCTGGGTGGCTCAGTCGGTTAAGCATCTGCCTTCAGCTAAGGTCATGAGCCGAGGGTCCTGGGATCGAGTCCCGCATCAGGCTCCCTACTCAGTGGGGAGCCTGCTTCTCCCTCTGCCTGCTCCCCCTGCTTGTGTTCTCACGCTCTCTCTCTCTCAAATAAATAAATAAAATCTTTTTAAAAAACAAATAAATAAATTATAATTTTGTTTTTCAAATACACGGAAAACAATGTGATAAGCCCAGATTTCCTAGATGTTCCCAGGTCTCCGGAGCAGGACATCTTGCTGGAGGCCCTGTGGTTGATCCATCAACTCTTCCGGCCGCAAAGAGCAGGTGGTTCATGGGTGCTTCCTTGCCCCCGAAGCCCTAACAGAAGGCCTGGCCAGTGGCAGCCTCCCATCCTCAGGCTCTGGCTCACGGCAGGTAAAGTTTGCGCACTAAGCCCCTGGACTCAGCATCAAGTCAGGAACAGGAAATCAGCCTCTGAATCTTTATTCCTGGCCAAACTTCTCTCTGGTGACAGGCTCACAACCCATGTGTCCCAGATGGGCGTGGCCTTTGCACAGGGAGCACCGCTGGTGTTCTCTCTGGAAGCCTCCCCCCAGCTTGCTGATGGAGCAGTCCACCCCACTGCCCACTGTACACGGGCCCCTTGTCTTCCGGTGCGCCAGTGATCAGGCACTGAATGGACATTTGTGAACATGCGGCTGCTGGGCCCCAGGCTCCAGGACGGCCAGGCTCCTCCCCAACGGCTCACAGGTTTGGGTGAGGGACACAGAGGAAGCCAGCCAGCTGCAGCGGGAGGTGGAGTGGCAGAGTTTGGAGAAGGGCGTGACAAAAGTCAGGGGAGTGGGAGGAGGTAAGCTTAAAAACAATAGAAGTCGGAAGACTTTCCTGGGAAGGGGAAATTGAAGAAGAAACAGAATTTCTGGAAAGGGTTGGGGAAGGGAATGAGCACAGCCAAAATCCTTCCTCATGGCCCTCGTGCTGCCCCACAGTGGGACAGCAAGGCAGGCCTCGCTCTGAAGTCGCGCTTGGCCACTTGCCTCTCCTTGGGGCCTGGGGTGCTCAGGACTGCAGAGGTTCACTCTTTGTTGGCAAATTGAAAACATAAGAGTAGGAACTGCGGCGGGAAGGGAAAAGTGGGGTCACTCAAGCCGTCGGTTATCTAGGTCACCCAAGGATTTGTAAGAGGGGAACTTCATGGGTGGTGCAGGCCTGTGTAGCTCAGAGCTGTGTCCTATAGCTGGCAGTCTGTTTATCTAGATGAATGCCTTTGAAATGGATGCCTAGGCTCTCAAAAGCTTACCGTCAGGCACTTGCTTCACAGACAACCACGCAGAGCACAAAGCTTCCTTCAGCAGCTGGCCCCACTTGCCTGCCATGAGGCCAGGCTACCTGGGGCTTACCCCTGTGGCCCTCCCTCCGCAGGGGCTGCCCTTGGGCTCCAAGATGATCTGTGGCCTTTCTAACCTGCCCTGGGACCCCTTCCCCAGGAAGGAAGGAAGGAAGGAAGGAAGGAAGGAAGGAAGGAAGGAAGGAAGGAAGGAAGGAAGGACTCTTCCCAAAGAAAAGGACAAGGCAGTGAAAAGTGAGACATACAGTAAGCTTTGAAAGGTGGGTTGTTAGCGGACTATGTGGGGAATCCTTGGAGCAGCAATGAGCCACGTGTAAGCCCCACTGGCCTACCAAGCTGCTGCCCTCATCGGCTGTGCATCTAAGATTCTATCCGTGCTTGAGGAGAGCGGGAAGGACAGGGACTTTTGGTAAAAACTGTGGAACAAAATGGGGACACACATCCATAAGTGCTAAATAAAGACATGTGATATATGAAAACAACTCCTCCTTACCAGTGTTGGGAGGGGGGGGGTGCCCGAGGGCAGAACCAAGCTGAGGGCCTTTCCCTGAGGGCCTCTGTGAAGAAACACCACTCACAGAATTCCACTTCCAGAATGGCTGCGTGAGGAGCTCCACAGACCCACTCCCTAGGGAAACAGGCAAAGCTGGTAAAAACTATTTTTTAAAAATTACACCATTTAAAGTCTCTGGAAAGTGTCCTAAGGGTATTCAATAAATGAAGAAACATTTATTCAAGAAAATCTACTAAAACCCAGTAAGAACAGTGAGAGTCTGGGATTTGAACCACACCCTGTTCCTTCCCTCCTCTCCTCTCCCCAGCTCAGCTTGACTAAATCGCTACTCTGGGCAGATATAGCCAAGAAAACCAGGATCCCTCTTCCCTCAGCCCCCGACCAAGGGTGTAAAATAATAAACCATATGCATATTGATCTCTGCCCCCAGCTCCTAACATGGAGCTCCTAAATCCCTTATAGGGCAACCTCCTGGGTGACAGGAGTGTCTTTAATTCTAATGAGGCAACTCTTGGTAGGCTCCTGGGTAGCTTCAGGATGGGAGCTAGCCACCAGAAAGACCAAACCATGATTAGAAATTTGAAATTTTCAACCCCATCCCCCATCCTCCAGAGGGACTGAAGACTGAGTTAATGATAGATCATGCCTCCATGTATGCAATGAAGCCTCCATAAAATTCCCAAAAAATGGGATTCAGAGAGCTCCTGGGTTGGTGAACACACCTACATGTTAGGAGGGTGACACACTCCAACTCCACAAGGGCAGAAGCTCCTGCTTTCTGGACTTTTCTAGACTTCATCCTATGTATCCCTTCATCTGACTATTCATTCATATCTTTTATTATACCCTCTATAATAAACTGGCAAACATAAGTATTCCCCTGAGTTCTGTGAGACACTCTAGCAAATTATCAGCCCCTAGGAGGGGGTCATAGGAACCCCAATTTATAGCCAGGCAATAATAAGTACAGATGACAATCTGGAACTTGCAGTTGGCATCTGAAATGGAGTTTTCTGGGAGTGAACCCTTAGACTGTGGCATCTGACACTCACTCCGGGTTGTGTCAGAACTGAATTGAATTGTAGGACACCCAGCTGGTGTTGCAGAATTGCATGATGGGTGCAGAACACACACATCTGGTGTCAGAAGTGTTGTGAGTGTTATAGTAGTATAAGAATAAAAGAGAAACATAGGAGTGTTTTTCTTTTTCTTTTTTTAAGATTTTATTTTTAAATAATCTCCACACCCAACAAGGGGTTTGAACTCACAACTCTGAGATCAAGAGTCACAAACTCTACTGAATGAGCCAGCCAGGTGCCCCAGGAGTGTTTTTCTTACACAAAGTGTTACTGTTTTTCACCAGGAGAAGCAGGCCACCAGCACTGCTCATCTCCAACTCTTAAGTTGAGGGAGCTAAACTACTGGTGAGTGAGGCCAAGAGCTCAACCTAGAGGATAGAGGCTCTACTCCAGGTGCAGCAGGCCAAGAATATCGAAGTTCTGATCGCTTCTGCCCCAGCTTATTGGTAGGACAGAGGTTCCACAACAGGGAAAGCAAGCTGAGCAGACCAGAGTCTACCACACCCACCCAGCTCCCTAAATAGTGGATCACAGACATCGCCTAGGGGAGAGGCAGCCCTTTAGAAAAGAGAGCTCTGAAGCTCTCCCCAAAGGAATTGACTCTATTTAAGATGGAGTGTAGAAAAGTTCAAATCTAAGGACACTCTTTAAAACAATCGTTCCTCTCAATTAAAAGCAACAAACTAAACCATAGGCCAGCTAATTCAATAGAGACGACCAGGGAAAAAAACAGCTAATAGCCCACCTACTCAAAAACTGAAACTACCCTTGCCTGAATTTAATTGGATCAGACTGATGAACAACTTATGCCCCAGGGCACTGTAGAAAATAATACAGCAATTAGCCAGTAATTAGTGGAGCCTAACATATTGATGTAATACCAAATGAGGCAGCTTAACAGAGAGATCAAGGAAAGAGACAGTCAAAAGAACCCTGCTAAAAACATGATCACCCCAGGGAGCCTGGGTGGCTCAGTTGGTTGGGCGACTGCCTTCGGCTCAGGTCATGATCCCGGAGTCCTGGGATCGAGTCCCACATCGGGCTCCCTGCTCAGCGGGGAGTCCGCTTCTCCCTCTGACCTCCCCTCTCTCATGCTCTCTCTCTCAAATAATTAAATAAAATGTTTAAAACATAAAAAATAAAAACATGATCACCCCGAGGTGAATGTGCACTTGCCTAAGACTTAACCCTCTGAGGAGTGTCATCAGAGGCTCTGTGATGTAGGGGAAATAGACATCACTAAAACATTTTAGACAAGTGAAGTCGCAAAACAAATAAGCAAGCAAACAATAACAAATGCAAGCCAGAACAGGTGGTGGGGAATCACCCACCTGTTTCAAATTGCTTTTCTCCTAAGATCAGGAATAAGACAAGAATGTCTGCTCTTGCCACTTCTACTCAAAATTGTACTGGAGGTGATAGCCAGGGCAATTAAGCAAGAAAAAGAATTAAAAGGCATCCACATCAAAAACTAATGATGTACTATATGTTGGCTAATTGAACTTAATACGGGAATAAATAAATAAATAAATAAATGGCATCCAGATTGTAAAGGAAGAAGTAGAAACTGTATTCACAGATCTTGTTTATAGGAAATTCTAAAGAATCCACTAAAAAAAAAAACAAACCAAAAAACCACACACACAACTATTAGAACTAATAAATGAGTTCAGCAAGGCTACAGGATAAAAAATGAATATACAAAAGTTTATCATATTTCTACATACTTGCAGTGAACAATCCAAAAATTAACTTAAGAAAATGCATAATAGCATCAAAAGCATCAAAAAGAATAAAAAATAAAAGGACAAATAACCCAGTTTATAAATGAGCAAAGAATCTGAATAGACATTTTTCCAAGGAAGATATACAAATGAAAAGCACATGAAAAGATGCTTGACATGTTAGTCACCAGAGAAATGTACATCAATACCACAATAACATTTCACACCCACTAGGATGTCTAGAATCAAAAAAGTCAGCTAACAATAAGTGTTGATGGAGATGTGAAGAAATTGGAACATTATACTCTGTCAGAATGTAAAATAGTGCACTTCGTAAAACAGTCTGAGTTCCTCAAACGACAGAGTTACCGTATGACCCAGACATTATACTTACAGGTACATGCCCAAAAGAACTGAAAACATATTTCTACACTAAAACTTGTACACAAATGTTTATAGCACCATTATTCCTAATTTCTGAAAGGTGGAAAAACCCAAATGTCTATCAATGGATGAATGGAAAACAAAATATGATATACCGACACAATGGAATATTATTTGGCCATAAAAAAGGAATGAAGTGTTGATATATGCTACAACACAGATGTATCTTGAAAACATGGTTACATGTAAGAAGTCTGTCACAAAAGGCCACAAAGTATAGGATTCTATTCATATGAAAGTCCAGAAGAGGGAAATAGGAAGACACAGAAAAGACACAGTGGTTGTTTAGAGCTGAGAGGACAAAGGGTCAGGAAGGTTACAGCTAAAAGCTATGGATTGGGTTGTGTTTTTTTAATGTTATCTCATTTTTTTTTAATTGATGTATAGCTGACATAGTATGGGGTTTCTTTTTGAGGTAATGAAAGTCTAAAATGCAATTGTGGTGATGGTTACACATATCTGTGGATATACTAAAAACCTTCAGTTGTACACTTTAAATGGGTGAATTGTATGGTATGTGAATTATATCTCAATAAAGCTGTTTTTAAAAATGAAAAAGAGGGGCGCCTGGGTGGCTCAGTCATTAAGTGTCTGCCTTCAGCTCAGGTCATGATCCCAGCGTCCTGGGATCAAGCCCCACATCTGGCTCCTGGCTCAGCGGGGAGCCTGCTTCTCCCTCTGCCTCTCCCCCTGCTCGTGCTCTCTCTCTCTCTGTATCTCTGTGTCTCGAATGAATAAATA